AGAAATAAGATATTCAAATAAACATACTGTATGATAAAGTATCAGGTTGTGTGCGCTCTATATTTGCAAGTCTATCATTATTCAAGAAGTGACGAAAACATCTGTATCGAAAAATGCGCAGATTAGCTTTTAAAATTATTCTACAATTAATATGACGTCATGGGTATGCACTTCTCGATTTGAATTTTTCATTACCTAAACTTAAATGAAACAAAAATGAAATATTACACAAAATTTAGTTAAATCTGGTCCTTATCTTATCTTATGAAAAATAATGATAACTACATATTCGAATGTCTTAATAAATAGATGATGTTCTCTTACCTAATAGTTCAAAATTTGGTGACTATATTGAACGCATTAATTGAATCGAACATGAGATGCAAAATACAACAGATACAGTTAAGGTAGGTTCATGGTAAACCGCCATCTTGGATTGTACAAACGCAGTACACAATTGGTCTAGTTCTTTGTTCAAATCTGCAAATTTGAATACAGATTTACAATCTATTGGTTAGACTGTTTATTTTTCGTAAAGAAAACGTAGAGATTTGTTACATTATCAAAATGTTTAAACAAATACCAAATATTTGTGTTTTTTTAGAATTAATTTGTCAACTTGGCCATTTAAGAGGAGATAACTCGTTTAGTAAACAAATTGTACTGGACTGATAGGGGAATTTTTATTTTTTACTTGTAGCAAGAAAACAAGTTCGGTGATTCCATTGTTTCTTTTTATTTTCTTAAAACATATTATAAAACCTATCTTCCCATATTTCATTTCAAAATTCTATCTCATAGATTTCTTTTTATACACATAAATGGGTTTTTTCATGTACAATCTAAGCAAATTTGTGCAATTTTGAATGACTTGTAGCTTGAAAAATAGCACGGTGACCTATAATTTTTTTTATATTTAAAAAAAAGCATAGTAAAATCTTCATTTTGACAAAGTATAAGAAAATTCTATTTTAGGAAATATATACCGATGTTCTGCCTTAAGTCTGCCTCATATCTTGACTTACATCTAGAAATTGACAATGAGGGTCAATTGGAGAAAAAAAACCAAAAGTGATGATTTCAGCTTCACAATTGTGATTTTTCCATTTCGCTGTAGCAACATTCCAGCAGAGCATGCATACGAAGTATATATCTCCCAGATGGTATGATATCCAGAAAAATTGTGACTTGGATGGAAAGTTGAGTCATTGGCACTCAAATCACATCTTCTTATATCTACTTATATTTTCTACCATGATTTCTTTATTACATGATTCTGCTCACAAAAAAAGCTATTGAATCAAGATTTTCGAGTGGCGAAGATAAAATCTTTCCTTCATAAGTATTACGGAGTTGGTCTAATTGGCCGTTATGGAATATCCGTTTCAAAGATAAAAGCGAATATGTTACTAATGTCGTAAATAAAATCCCGTCCTCTTTTCCCGAATGTGACCTACCGAATTAAACAAATTACCGGGGTTTTTTCAACATGAGCAACATGACGAGTCCCACATGTGGAGCAGAATCCGCTCACGCTTCCGAAGCACCTCAGATCATTCCAAGTTTTCGTGTTGTTCAGTCTTTAAATCACTATGTTGTGTTTTGTGAACTACTGTTTGTCTATTTATCTTTTTCTTTTTTAACCCAGGCGTTATGAGTTCTTTTTCCAGTTATGATTTTGAATGCCTTTCTGATATTTTTGCCTCTTCTTTTACACAAACAATAAACGGAACAGTAAGCAAGCTAGGAAAAGATGATGTTCAAATTTATTAGGGTTAACTCAAACTTTTTACCATCTTTATTCAGCTGTCTTGGGTTATTTTCCGCAAGTCGAGAATCTCAGGGCAATCTACCGAACAGATGGTCCGAGACCACAATTATCGTCCTTTGATTTTCGTTGTCCATTTTCGTTGTCCACGAATATAGTCCCTAGTGTTGACAGTGTGTTACTTGCCAATTTTTTTTATACCCCTTCCAAATTTATTTCTCCATGTTTCATGCCTCAAATAGCAAGTAGGGGATGAAATTACACTGTCAAAAAAATTGGGTCATGAATTTCAAAGTAAAGTAGTGATTTGGTCCAGCTGAAAAAGGTTACAAATTAGCACTTTGGAAGCTGTCTAAAGATTTCAAGACCCCTTAACATAAAATTGTCCAGTTATTTTGAGTTACAGCCGATGAAGTTTTCTATAATTTTGATATAATTTGTCCCAAAAGTAGTACAACAAACTGTAAAAGTTTTATTACGAAAGCGCTGGTGGGATTTTTTTAATTTTCATTTATTGTCTATAAGAAATGCACTACGGAATAATTGTGGTCTCGGACCAGATACGTTCAAATTACATGTTAAGCGTTTTCTTTAAAGTCCTTGTTCTCCATTCGATAAATATTTTAGCTTTTGATTTTGCCGTATTATAAAGGACTTTCCGTGTTGTATTTTCCTTGGAGTTCAATATTTTTGTTATATTAGTTTTCATTGCTGTAAAACAGGGAAAGTAACATAACAAAAATACCGAACTCCGAGGAAAATTCTAATCAGAAAGTCCGCAATCAAAAGGCAAAATCGAAAGCCCAAATTCATCAAACGAATGGATAGCAACTGTCATATGCCAGGCATTTTTTTTAAAGTGGACAAGATTTAAGTGATTTTTTTTTCAGTCTTAAAAAAAAATCCAGATAATGAGTTTTTCAAACGTCAGTTTCGGTATATAACGTTCAGGATTTAATTGTCTATCAAATTAGTAAAATGTATACTTGATTTAAATCATACTGTGTAAACAACTTTGCATTACGTTTGTTCAAACCAGTCCAAATGATTAAATTCTAAATTCATCCAGGATAAACACAGAATTTACCTATCGAACATAAATAACTTGCAATATGTTGCCAGATACTTAAGATGTTGATATAAACGGTGGTTAGATTTCAACCCAATGGTTTACATGATTCGATTAAACATTTGAATTCATGTGTTCACCTAGATTCTAATTGCTAACACTATGACCTGTAGAAAGAATACAAATTTTATCAAAGTATCATTTATATTACATGTAGGATCATCAAATACGTGTGTTGCAGATATACAAGAACTATGTAAATCAAATACAATATTTTGTATTTCTTTTAACTTTTTTACGCGAAAAAGAAGAAGGACTACAGTCTTGCTTGATTGAATGATACGTCTGGTATCACAAACTGAATATGCGTTGTAAAATGAAAAACCTGTTTAAAATTATTTATGATATTGTTCATGTTCGTTGGAGATCTACATGTAGTTTTTTGTTTTTTCGAAATATGCAGTTTAAATACAATTTAATTCATGTACTTGAACAAAAGAAAAGAAAAATCAGTTGTTTTATGTTCAAATTCAGAGAATAAGTACATACACATGTATTCGCTATATACTAATTCATTTTCTAAAACAAAATTACAATCATATATTCTGAACAACGAAGGAAAAGCATACTTTTATTTATTTTTTCCTTAACAATCAAATTATTGGTTTCTAGCTTTTATCGTTAATAAATTAGTCTGAGACATACTTGTAAACTACATTATCAAGAACAATACGGATAATTAATAAGGCGAAAGAGAAATTTTCGTTGGCTAATTGAAAAATAATAGTCTACTAAACTTGATTGTCATAGTAAATCTTAATCAAACCAAGTTGACAAATTTCCTGTAACAGAAATACAAAAATACGTGATAAACAAAGTTGCTTATCAAAACATATTGTTACACAATTTTGTTTTATAAGGCTATAGTCGTGCATATATACTTATTTTCTACGCTCAAGATGAACCTAGATATATCTCGATTGAAATTAGCGTGTAATAACAACTGAAAAGTACCTCTACTTGACTGTCACTCATCCAACCGGATTCAGGTTGAACGATGGTTGAATTACTGTCAACATTCAGCGAAATCCCTTATTCAAGTACACTGACTTTTGTAATTCTGTCAATAAGATATCCTAGACATGCTTTCAAACCTACCTAAAGCATTATCCCAGTGCGATTTCAAAAAGCTCTTGGTCTATTGATTTAGTCTAATTAAAATTAATTCGATGACAATCTTGTTATTTCAATATCTATATTCGCAATTAACATTAGTTGTAATATAAAAATTTGGTTTTCTTTCTTTGGTCAGTATATATATATCAGGAATATCTAATTACGAAAAAAAAATTATTTTCCATTAGTTGATTAGTAGACACTGTCATAAAAAATGGGATTTAATTTAATAGTTTAGTGCAAAATTATTTTCTAATCATTCATTATGAATTGAATCAATAATATAATATAATATATCATGTCTAAACATCTGTGTTGCTTTTAAAAAAAAAGTTATTCAAAAGTACTTGAACTATTACTAGACAACAAAACATAAATTGAAAAGAAGAAAATGGTGCGTTTAATATTACTTGTCGGAATAATCATATCTGAGTAGTCAAAGTAATTACTGAAAAAACAAGGCAGATACTCATTAGTATAGAGTGATACTGCGGCATATCCTTTCATATTGGTTATCGACAATATATAGAACTGTCAAATGTATAACTGGACAACAGACTTGAATCAATAATTGTGTAGTAAATAGAGAATATCCGTTGTTTACTGCATAAAGAAATGGTAAAAATGTTACTATACAACATGGCATACATTAATCAATGTCAGATTAATGATAAAAGATATAGTATAACTATTAATAAAAAAAGGCATACATGTATCAAAATGTAGGAGCGTGAGAAATTTTAAACTATGACTTAATAAACAGAAAGACATTTATAACTGTAATTGCATGATGGATCTTATTCTTTGTTTGTTGCCTGTTGAAAACAAGTCAGAAAAATGAACCATCTCCTTTGTATATTGCTAATTACATAAATCATTTAGAGATAGCGCAGGTATTACTGGAAAACAAGGAGGACATTCATAAGTGTAGAGATAAATGAGCATCTTCTTTGTATATTGTTTGTCACAAAAATCATATAGAGATAGTTAAGGGTATTTCTGGATAACAAGGCAGACATCAATACGTGTAGTTATGATAGAGCATCTCCTTTGTGTATTGCTTGTCAGGATAATGATATAAAGATAGTGAATAACAAAGCAGACATTAATTCGTGTGATAATAGTGGAGCATCTCCATTGTTTGTAACTTATCAGAATAATCATATAGAGAAAGTAAAGGTATTACTGAATAACAAGGTAGACATTATTACGTGTGATGATAGTGGAGCATCTCCATTGTTTGTAGCTTGTCAGCAGAATCATAAGGAGACAGCAAAGGTATTACTGGACAAAAAGGCACACATTAATAAGTGTATGGATGATGGAGCACCTCCTTTGGATATTGCTTGTCAGAATAATCATATAGAGATAGTAAAGCTATTACTGGATAACAAAGCAGACATTTATAAATATAAAGATGATAAAGCATTTTCTTTGTGTATTGCTTGTCAGAAAAGTCAAACAGAAATAGTTAGGATATTACTGGATAACAAGACAGGCATTAATAAGTGTAAAGATAATAGAGCATCGTTTGTTTATGATTTGTCAGAAAAATCTTATAGAAATAGTAAACCAATACCTGAACAACAGGGCAAACTTTAAAAAGTGTACAGATAGTAGATTAAATCCTTTGTAAAGGGCTTTTTTAGTAAATCCTTAGGTAGAAGTGAAACGTTTCCGCGATAACAAGACAGAAAGTTGTAAGTAAAGAGATAAAGAAGCATGTCCTTTGTTAAGTGCTTGTCAGAAGAATCATATAGAAGTATTTAAACTCTTCCTAGAAACAAGACAGACATTAATAACCGAAGATATAACGATGTGTGTATTTTTGTAATTGCTTGTCAGAAAAATCACATGACATTACAAAAAAAATATAACTTGATAACAAGATAGATGTGTAGAGATTCAGAAGCATCTCATTTGTTAGTTGCTTGATTAGAAAGTATTAAAACTATTTCCAAACAACAATGCAGACAGTACTAGTAGTACGGATAAAGAAGCATATCCTTTGTTTAATGCGTCTCAGTAGAATAATATGAGAGTAATTAAACTATTAATGAGCAACAAAACAGACTTTAAACCATACAGGTAATGGTACATCTGCTTTTTCAACTGGTTGTCAGAACACTGTAAACAAATTTATTGTCGCGCACACTTGTTTTGCGTAAAGCTTTTTTTTTTGCCGATTTTACGGTGATTTATATTTTATAACTTTGTTCGTTTTTTTCATATGAAGAAGATCCAATTTTGACACATTCGTGACTATTTATATTTTACTCGAGAAAGTTGCGAAAATGAAAAGCTCACAAATATAAGTAAATGTCATTAAAAATTTACATTAAAACATAGTTACAGTTAGAAATGAACAATTAGTGTTGAACCTTACAAAACTAACTGATGCAATGTATTTCCTTGCATGTTATAAATCAGACTTGAAGTCAATGGAGAGTACACTGGATATGTCATAGATATTTTTTTTTATTATTTTGCATACAATTGGGACATGTTTAACTCCAACTGAAAATTGAAGAAACAATTCATTATATGTTTTGCTACAATATTTATATTTTTGAATACACATTGGTAAAAAAGGGAAACATTTGTATAGAACGTAAGCGAACTATTAGAAAACTTATCTTTAAATACAAACCTTTTCACAAATAAAGTCAAAAGATTTTCCCAATAAATAGATATGTTTTTTTTTAAATAAATTTCCTTTTGGATGATGTCAATCATCAGAGGGTCACTGACTTCCTTTCTCGCTCCTTGGAAAAGTACAAGTATGAGCAGTTCTCATCACTTGGCGTCCATCGGCGGCCAACTTTTACAAAAATCTTCTTCTCTTAAACTTCTAGTCAAATTAAACCAAACTTTTAGCCATTATAATTTTTGGAGTATTCTGTTTTTGATATGCGTCTAATGATCCCAACTGCACACTATCATGGGTACCATAAATAATATAAAAAAATTACGAGGCTAACATGCAAAAAGTGTTTAATATATTAGATATAATCTGGAAGGGGAAGAAATATTCATTTTTTCATTATTTACATTCTGTATTTTTTTTTTCAAAACTGTCATTTCTGCCAAAAATCGAGAAAGATGTAACGAATAGACAAATACAATATCAGAAAGGTGATCAGTTGACGTGATTTTGGACCACAGTCGATCCTATTCAATGTAAAAACCGTTAATCTTTTACTTTCTGACCTTTTTCTTTACCAATACTATAATATGTACTATTGAATAAAAACAAAATCTGTGACCCTATGATAATTTTGTATCCATCGTATATAACAAAAATATATTTCACAATTATGGACTTTTGTCGAGGTCAATACGTTATATCTGGACCTGTTCAGATTATATTGACCGAGGACGATGTCCGAGGTTCAATATAATCTAACAGGTCCATATATAACGTATTGACTGAGTGAAAGTCCTTAATTTATATATTACATATGCAAATAGTGTATTATGGAAATGGTCTTCAGTTTTCTTTCTGTGTACTTTTATATTTTGCAAGATTTATAATATTGACCGTCAATATATATTTTACATTGCATTTTGCAAGATTTTTAATATTGGCCGTCAATATATGTCTGTAAATAGACACATAGCGTCCATATACTTAAATACCTTCTGAATCATGTGATTCTAATAATCAATGAAAAAAGAAGAATGCTACACCATATGCAATATTGATCAATATTTTAACAACAAGGTTGTATATAAAATTTTAAAAAAAATATATAACATTTTAATACAGTTATATTGACATTAAATATCTTATCATCTTTTTTATATCGAAAACAATGTAGAAAGATATCTTGTTGTATTAATTTTCCAACAAAAAGAATATATCTTACGAATAGAACCACTCTAAAGCTATGCAGTGTTACTGATATTCAATTTATTTGTTAAATGTTTGTAAATGAATCAATAGATTTTTTAAAACTTATAGATATAAGAAGATGTGGTATGAGTGCAAACTCTCCATCCAAGTCACAATTTGTAAAAGTAAACCATTATTGGTCAAAGTACGGCCTTCAACACGGAGCCTTGGTTCACACCAAACAGCAAGCTATAAAGGCTAGTGTAAAACCATTCAAATAGGAAAACCAACGGTCTAATCTATATAAAAAACGAGAAACCTGAGACCACCCCAAGTTTTTGTTTGGGTTCGTGTTGCTCAGTCTAAGGTTTTCTATGATGTGTTTTGTGTACTGTTTTTTGTTTATTTGTCTTTTTCTTTGTTAGTCATGGCGTAGTCAGTTTATTTTCGACTTATGAGTTTGAATGTTCCTTTGGTATTCTTCGCCTTTCTTCTACAAGTATTCGAGTGAATAAGAAAAGTTCCTGACCCAAGCACATTGACATGATTAAAAAATTTACTTGGTTCCCAGACTTTTTTCAATTTTCTTTCATTTGGGAAGGTATTTACTCCCTCGCTGCTTCTTGGTAAAACTTTAAGGGAAATTGTAACAAATTTGATAATGTTTAAGCCTCGCAAAAGAGCTGACCGTAGTAATTGGAATTTGAAATTCATTTGTCAACTGTTACGGATCCCGTTTAGTAAACTGTAAATTATTCTTTGAGGCATATAATGTTTTAGAATTTGCAACAACTAAAAAATAACTTCTCTTTCTTTTTTCCAACTAGGTAACACATTCGGAGATTCTATCGACATAAATGTAGGTAATCAAAGTTTATGATAGATGATATGTGAATCTGTCAATGTTATATCTTACGCTCGCCTGCCATCCAGGTCTGAGATAAATAAACATATTTGAAAGAAATACTCTCTAGGAAAAATTCTTATTGTGTTTTTAGTTCTTTATTTGAACAAAATCCAAGTAAAACCATTTGTTTTTACACACAAGGATTTAGGTTGCAATTCCCGTAGGTAAAGTTGGCCTTCGAAGCTCTTGCTGTCCTTTTGAAAATGGCTTTTGAAATTTATTTTTCAATAAACCTTTCATAAAAATTCGGTCTTAGGCGCACTTGATGAAGAAAGTTTCAGTCACATGCAGAGTGTTGTGAATGTAATTTTAATTGCAACATTATAAGTAATATTATTCTAAATGTAATGCTGGTATAACAATTAACATTTTATAATGATAACTATGTTTCTGTGACAGCCATATTGTTTGTTGTCTATTTATTTATAACAATGTATAGTATTTTGTTTCTGATATTGATGGGTTGTAAAAATGAGTAATGGATATTAAAACGCTAAAACCCCACGAAACAAATCAGTTTAAATAGAGATTGAATCTGTTTTAATATGAGGAAGGGAAGGTGTGTACATAAAGTTTTTTCACACCTGCAAAAGGAACCGTTTTGATAATGACCGTTTTGTTTATTCGTTTAATTAAATTCATAAGTGTAATTTTGCCCGATAATTTTTTTTTATTTTCTGTAGCAGACAACACAAGTCACATGCACAAACAAACATAATGTATAACTTACTGATCTGTTCAAAGTTTTGATTTTTCTACCCTATATACCACATAATGCTCATTAAGAAAAAATTCACATACCTAATCAAATGGGCATTTATAAAGTCAGAATGCAAATATATATGTTCAAACTCTTTTAGGTCATTTTTTAGTAACAACAAACAAAATAACTATGTCAATTGGACCTGCCTGGATACGATGACTGCACTTGAAATTTTACTAGATATCATTTTTGTTCGCTATGGAGATTTTGTATATCGTCAAGTTATCGGAATTTCAATGGGGACTAACTGTGCACCACTTAGTGCGGACCTGTTTCTGTATTGTGACGAGTTATGATGTATGACTAAAATCAGCAAAGACCCATCAAAACAACATCTGATACAAAAATTTGATAACGCTTTTAGATATTTGGATGATATATTGGCTTTCAATAATAACGACTTCATTATGTACAATAAAGAGATTTATCCTGCTGAACTGACTTTAAATAAAGCTAATACTAACAATGAACACTGCCCTTTCCTGGATCTTGATATCTATATCTTTAACGGGAAGCTTAATACCAAAATGTACGATAAAAGAGATGATTTTTCACTGTTAATTATCCATTTTTAGATGGTGACATTCCCTTGTCACCATCTTATGGTGTTCATATATCTGAACTAGTTCGATTCGAAAAATCACTATGATTCAACCAAAATATTCTCTGAAACTGAATCTGATGTTCAGTAGTTGTCGTTTGTTGATGTGGTTCATAAGTGTTTCTCGTTTCTCGTTTTTTATAAAGATTAAACCGTTGATTTTCCCGTTTGAATGGTTTTACACTAGTAATTTTTGGGGCCCTTTATAGCTTACTGTTCGAGGTGAGCCAAGGCTCCGTGTTGAAGACCGTACTTTGACCTATAATAGTTTACGTTTATAAATTTTGACTTGGATGGAGAGTTGTCTCATTGGCACTCATACCACATCTTCTTATATCTAGTTATCAAGATGCTTGATTTCTTGATTGACAACATATTTGTTATGTTTGGATGACGTGTTTTTCAACAAACAATCGGCATTCCCATGACAACAAACTGTGCCCTCTTCTTTCCAATTTGTTCCTTAATTCATTTGAGGCTGACTTCATACTGGATC